GATCTCAAATCTTTCCTAAGAGAAGTTCAAAAACTAAATGCTGAAGTAGACTATTTGAAGTCTAAGCACAACTCCAAGATTAAAAGAAATTTATATAGAAGATTGTAGGAGTTGAAACAAGGCTCTATGAATGTTGAGGATTATTATAACGAGATGGAGTTAGCTATGACTAGAGCTGGTGTGAAAGAGACTCCAGAAGCTACTATGGATCGTTTTATATGTGGGCTTAATCCTAGATTAGCTCGTGTTACAGAAATGTGTAGTTTCATAGAGATTGAAGATTTGGTTTTTCTACTTAGCAAGCATGAGAAAGAACTCAAGAGAAAGACTCAAGGTAGACAATGCTCCTCTTCGAAGAAGAACAATCAAGAGAAAGACGTCATCTCCCCATCTTATTCAAATGAGATGGATTCCATTGTTTTGAATAATTGTGAAAAAGAAGAGGGTTTTAGCAAAGAAACAAGTGCAATAGAGAGTATTGAGTGTTTTGAAAATAATGAGAGCAAAAATGAGAGTGTTGAGTTGAGTAAAAAGAAAAATGAAAAAATTTTGAGAAAAATCAGGTTAAGAGTGATTGCAAGGATGTTTATGTTATTACTAACAATGTTAATCATTCTTTGCCTTGTGTTTTTTATGAGTTGTAGGTATTAGGCAATTTGTGTCCTAAAGAGCAACCTGATGAAATCTTATCCTTAAGAAGCATTGAACCTTTATCTCTTTCAAGCGACATTGAAGAATATTCTAATGGTTTAAAATTTGCTATTCTAGATTAATTGCTATATTTAAGATGCCTTGAAATTTACACATTAAATTTTTATTATTACATGAATTTTGTTGTTCATAAGCATTCATATCACATGTATGTTATGACAAAGAGGCATATGATAAAGAGGCATTCCTATTATTTGGCTTTTGTTATTGCCTTAGTTTATTTTGTAGGTGCAAAAGGGTTTCAAATAATCATTTATATTTAGGTGCATGTGAGAAAGAAAAAATTTCTAACCCAAAGCATTTTTCACCAACTTCCAATAGTAAATTATCCTCATGTGATTTTAAGGAACCAAGATCCTGCTCAAGATCTTACCAAGACCCATAACATCACTTGCATGATTCCTTCACTTGGTAAGTATTGTGTTCATATTATTTTTGGAAATTATAATTTCTTCCCCTTTGATCTAGGTCAAGATTCAAAGACGAATCTTTTTGAAGAGGGAGGGGATGATAGCATACTGAGAAGTGCTTAATATGGAGGTCCTAAAACCCAAGAAATGCTCATCCAATTAAAGGTCCAACCAACCCTCCAAAGTGTTCTTTATAGCTTTAAAATGCTTACATGAAGGAGGACATGGATCATTACTTGGATAATGATATGGACAATTACAGATACAAAGCTTGAAGTGACATGTGATAGGCCACCCCCAAAGCCACCATGGCATGATTAGTGAGCCCAACAAGAGTCCAAGATGATGTATAAGGCCCATATGAAGTCTAGATTAAAGAATTCACTTAAAATACCATGTGACAAGCATATGACTTGGACAAGGAATATAAGTGATGTCCAAAAACATTCAAGAAGCATCTAGAAGGAATTCTTATACATTAATTGTGATTTAATTTCATTTTTAGGAAGTTTCTATTTTCATTTACTTTGAATAAGGCCTTTTGGTCAATGATTGTTCTAGAAGCTTTGTTTTGATTTAGTTTCCTATCTTTTTAGATAGCAGACTTGTTCTTAAAGTTTAAGTAATTTCCTTTTCTCTTTATACAATAAATGGTGCCTCCCATAGTCAAATAATCATCAATGAGGCATCATCTTAACATTTATGTACTAAGATTATGATTCTAGAGTGTTCTAGAGTTGCTTATAAGGGGATGATTTGGATGATTAATAATATGATAATTTTATTTCTCTTTGTGTGAGCTTTGCTTGCATCCTCGTATTCTTGTGAGAATACTTTGACAGTAGTAAGGGAGTGATCAACCTTATAGTGTCTTCATGGCTAGGATTGTAAGAGACAGGTTCTCTTAAGGTCCTACCTCAATCATTCAATCAGTTTCTTGTGTTTGGCGTTACAAAAGGCAGGTTCTCTTAGGATCTCATCCCATCCTATACTTGTTTCTAGCCAGTCCGTATGTCCCCCTAATATGTTATATCATAAAAGAAAAGGGAACCGTAAATGAATAAAATTATTGACAATAATTTTAGTGATGATATCAATTAATCAAATGAAGATCTTATATACAAATCTGTCATGAGATATAGACAGATAGATAGTTGGCCAATGGAAAAAAAAAAAAAAAAGGTGCAACATTATAATGGGGATTTGTGTATCTCTGGCTTAAACATCTAAAGTGTAATGTTAATATTATATAAATAGACACTTGTACAAGAAAAGAGAAATGCAATCTTATGGTAGATTAAACTTTTATGTATCTTATCAATCTGGTAGTTTGATCAAATATGAAAATATTTCATATGCGTCTAGGAAATATAGTGATTCACTATACAATGAAATTTTATGTGAATCCTAGAAGGCTGTAAACCCTTGTGCTAGTTCAAAATGATCTAATATATGGACAGATTTGGATCACAATATATGAAAATCCCTGAAAGATTCAAGTTTCCAAAAGATAAAATTATGTTTTCAAGAAAACCATTCAATTAAGTTAAATAAGTCTCTATATGGAGGTGTATGTGGTATAACTAATGTAGTAAATATCGGTTAAAGTGATAATATAAAAATATTTCAAATTACCCATCTATAAAAAGATCTAGAAATATGTATTCTCTTCTCCAATAGTTGCCAGATCTTTAGATGTGGACTAAAAATCCATTTAGACCTCCAGAAGTTGATGAATAAGTACTTAGTCTAAAAGTACTCCATCTTAGTGTCACTAAAACAATTATGTATCTAAACATCCACACAAAACCTGATATACCATTTGCTAAATTAGTATGATATAGCTTTTTATGAACATGAAGACATTAGAATGAAGCTAAGCATATTCTTCGCTACTTTAAAGATACTGCAGAGGTGATATTATTTTATCTGAATGTACCCAAGACTATTAATTTATCTAAATATACCCAAGACTAATCTTACTGGCTTTATTTATAGATAAAGGATTCTTGCTTAATCCTCATATTGAGAGATCATAGTATGATTCACATGTCTATAGACCACAAAGGGACTGTTTGCCTAATAACTTTTAAAAGGTTATGAAATTAATATTTGACGTTTTCATCTCATTATAACATTTGGAAGGTTTATTAGTTATATTAGACTGTAAGCTTAAAGATGTTAATTGATGTTGCTAAGAAGAGGAGTTGATACACATTGTACTTTTATTTTCTTTTCTATGGTTTTGTCCTACTGGGTTTTTCTAGCAAGGTTTTTAATAAGACAACACTGCATATAATACATCAATGAATGATAAACTCTTTTTCTTCTACTAGATTTTGTCCCATAGGTTTTTTGTAGTTGAAGTTTTTAACAAGGTATGTTCATATATAATGAACATCCAAGAGGGAGTGTTATGAATATAATAATCTCTTTGTGGATGTCTATATATCTCTCATTATCTTCGATATCTCCTATCATCTCTAATATCTCTCATTATCTCTATAACCCATGATTATCTTCTATTATTATTTAATCTGTAAATTCTATTAAAAAAAAAGTGAAGTTGTGCTTATAAATAGAGACCATGTATAATGTATTCAGTATCTTGAATGGAGAGGAATACTCCTATCTTCTCTTCTCTCTAATTCTCCTCTTTTATTCTCTACTTTGCCTTTAGTTTTATATAAAAAAAATACTTATTTATTACAAATAACTAACTTTATAGCAATCTCTCTATAATGAAGAAATTACTATGAGTTCTCAATAATATGCTCAAGGAAAAATACTGTGAATGATCTCTGTTTTTTTAAAACCAAAAACTTTGAAACTTCAAAAAAACCTATTACAACTATTTCTTTGTTAATTAAACTTAATTTCTACATTTTTCCATTAATTATTGTGTATATAACCCAAAAGAAAACTAGTTGATATGCCCCTAGGATCATCCAGATATTTTCCAATGGATACTGTCTCAATAGCTCACACCATATCCAAGAAATATAACATTATGATTGAAATAAAATATCAACATACACTTTAGACATGTCTTTGAAAAATTGAAAATTGATATTCCATCCAATAGTATTCTCATTTCGATTCTTAATGATCGAACTCGCAATCTTCCAGAATTAATATTCCACTCAATATCATCCCAATACACAACACATATTGGTAGTGACAGTTTACTACTAATGACTAATTCATATTCATAATTATATCTAAAAACGCATGCGTATGAAATCGAAGAAAGATCAACTCTGTTTATCTATTGTTCAAATTGAACAGCAATACTTTAAATCAATGTGTTGCCGCTATGCTCATAGCACTTGGTTGGCAAGTTAATGGAACAAACTGCAACGAGGAGTGCATATTTAATTAGAGTCATACCTCAAACTAACTGGCAAGTTCACTATTCTAAAGAACCTCCCAATAGAATTCATATTTCTTGAATCTCTCTTTGGATCATATACCAAGTCATGTTTCTATCAAAACTAGTACTTGCTTTGAGGGACAAATATGAGGATTTATCACCATTAAAACACGAGATTGCATTCCATTTAGGATTATTGTCGTCCATGAATAGAGGATGAAAACCTGGGAGTACATTTCCAAACAAAAAGCAGGGGAGAAAACAGAACAAGCAAAACTAGTTTAAACTGAAAATCTAGTCTGGGTATGCCTGTTTCTAAAACATGAAGTTTAGACCTTGGATTTACATGAAAGGATCATAGTTCAAATAATCTGTACAGCAAGAAACCTTTAACAATTATTTTACAACATTAAAAAAAAAAAAAAAGATTCACAGTGATTCACATGCCTACGAAAGAACAGGGCTTGTAAGAGGCCCTAGAAGAGGTCACCATCCATATAATTGACAATTAGCTTTGCTTGGTGGAATCTTGTGATTTATAGCCATAAGGGTTTTTGCTCGCCCAATTCCATAGATCACGGCACATATCTTCAATGCCATATTTTGCCCTGCAAGGAAGATAAATATGTGAGAAAGAGAAAATAATTCCAAAACAGGATTTATTGAAACAAATGGAACAACTAATTTTAGTTTTGGACTCTCTCTGCTTTCAAGGAGATCTTGACTGTGCGATCATATTCTTATGTTGGCACAATACAAGATTAATTGGATAGTTTGGGCAAAAAAAATACAAAATAAACCAAGCAAAATTGCAGGGCAATATCTAAACCATTCAAACTAAATGATACTCACTTCCAATTAAGTTCTCTCTCTGCTTTTTCTGTTGATGCATAAACAATTTCAGCATCACCAGGCCTCCGACCAGCCATCACAAGTGGAATTTTCTGTAAGGTAAAACAAAATAATTCAACAAATCGACGTGATATGACACAATCACAGAAAAGCCCAATCCAAATATAATATAGTTGACAGGGTATCAGCCTATTAGGTTGGGATCCTCAAGAGAAAACAATTCTCCTTCTAATGCATTGTTCTAAAAGCATGTTGCTGAGGCACTGTGTGAGCCATACTTAAAAACTACCTTGTTCTATCTCCTTCATGTGCCTTCCATTTTCTTTCATCTTTGCTAACTAAAGGTTCTACACTATGATGACTCGAGAAGCTACATATCGTGAGTTTTACATGAAAACAGAAGTCACTTCAGCCTAGCATTACAAATTTGCGCAAAAGGATATCACCACAGTGCTAAAAAAACTCCAAATTTACTAGATAAATGTAGATTCTAAAAAACGATTTAATAACTGAGCAGTGATCACAATGACACTAACCATGTAAACTGCTACATGCTTTGCCAAATTTTAGAACAAACCATACACAAGTAGGCCAACGAATTTCACAGCAAAAATTATTGTCATATCAACTGAACTGGAAATAATCTGTCCATTACCTTTCCAGAGACCTTTTCAAAAGCTTTACCCATCTCTAAAACTGATGTTCCCTTTCCTGTTCCTAAATTGTACACCTCACAACCTACATATACACACCATGAATTTAATACAAGATCAAATCCTAACAAAAGTAATATTTATAATGATAGCACAACATGAAAAAGAAAAAACAGTAGAAATAAAAAGCACAAAAGACACCTTGACAGAACCAACAGACTGAAATAATAAGTAAACAAGAAAAATATGATAAATTTTAAGAATACCTATATTAGGATCATCTAGTTTACGCAATGCAGCTACATGCCCATCTGCTAAATCAATAATATGAATATAATCATGCACCTAACAATAAGGATGAGATTCATTGAGTTAGACTTTTTGTGAAGTCATGAAAATCAAATCTTAAATAAAAGGAAGTATGTCATGTATACTCAGTAGAAGTCAACAGCGGGAAGAGGGAATGGAACATTCAAGTCTAATAGGGAAAGATTATTATTTTTCTAATAAGAAATAAGATCCAACTGCACTTTGTTAATAGATTAGGATTTCCAGAACATATGAGCCAGTGCATGTGTAGTGCTATTCCAAACTAAAAGAAAATAGCAGGGAGACTCCTCACTTAAGTGTCAGCATTGATAAAAATTCATGCAACCTTTCAAGAAGAAGTTGCAAAGTCTTGAATTAGAAAGAACATACCCCAGTGCCATCAACTGTATTATAATCATTTCCAAATACTGTCAATGCGGCACGTCTGCCAACTGCTACTTGTTGAACATATGGCATGAGATTATTTGGAATTCCATGAGGATCCTCACCAATATAACCACTGGGATGAGCACCAACTGGGTTGAAGTATCTCAGCAATATCATTTTCCATTCGGAATCTGCCCGGTAGATATCACGACATTTCCTCATTTCCTCAATGGAAAGCTGAAATAGAAACCCTTTCAGACATCATTACTAAATTCCAATTACCATCAGTTTTACCGATATTCACCAAATCAGAGACATGGTGTGCAAGGCCAAGAAGCCATTGTCAATACTACAGCAAAAATACCAGGAACAACATTCTATTTGTACCTTGGTTCGTCCATATGGGTTCAATGCAGATAGTGGAGACTCTTCTGTACATGGAACCTGCTTAGGCCAACCATATACAGTTGCTGAAGATGAGAACAAAAGCTGAAATCATGCAAAAAATACGTTAGTCAAAAATAACAAAACAAAGCACCAAGACTGCATAATATTAATCTTAGGAGCCACCTCAAGGTAGCAATACTACTAGGGTGAATTAAAAAAAAAAACGAAAATCAAGACTTCATTTTAAAATAGTCCAACATGGCTTCTACTTTATCTCCTTGACAGCGAGGACCAAAATAGCTATTCACTTTTGGAACTTGAAAACTGCCAAATACTTTCCTAATCATTACTTCGATTGGTTTCTGTGCATATAAGGAATAAAGGGAAAAGAAGGAAAGAAAACTAAGGAAAAACTGACATAATAGAATACTGTCACAAAGGAGCAACAAGAGAATGCAACGATATAACAATACACCTTTATAGCTGCTGGGGTCAAGCACCAAAGCTAAATATATTTTCCAAACAATATTTTAAGGAACTTGATCATGGAGAAAGACCAAACATTTCAAATTTAGCATAAATTCAAAGAAGATAACTTATGACAGCATTGATTACATTCCTTGAATACTATCTATGAAGTAGAAGCCAATCACAAGAAACAGAAAAGAAAGGAAGAAGAAGAAATAGATAAACTTACCTTCTTGCATTCATGGGCAGCCATGACTTCCAAGAGGGTGATCGTTCCAATCAAGTTGTTGTTGTAATAAAGCAATGGTTTTTGCACACTTTCACCTACGGCTTTTAACCCAGCAAAATGTATGACAGCATCAAATCTGCATTTAGTAGAGAGATCAGAAACAGATAATTGATAAGATGCAACTATAAGAAACCAAAGACATTGTAATTTTTTCCGAAAACAGAAAGTTTGGTTGTAGCACGCACTGTGTGGAAGCAAAAATTTCTTCGAGTGCAGCTCTGTCCCGAAGATCTACCTGCAGTTGGCGACTTATAATGTAAGCAATAGGTCATTACAAAATCAGTGAACAATAATTATGCTGCAATGCAATGTTTAGAATTTAGACATCAAGATGCAAAATTAATTAGTTGAAGCACTTGGTAACTGATTTTTTTTTTTTTTTTCATTTTTAGCGAAAACTAGGTACCAGAGTATAGCGCCAACAAAAAGTCGTTGAAAGTTGATGCTCAGTGGATTTGATAGCCGGTAAACAACAGTACTGATGACTTTATTCATCCTATTTCAAAAACATGAAAAATCAGAAGACTTCACATATGTGTACATGTCTGCTTATACACACGCGCATGTAAATATGTTTAGATACACCTATGTGCAAATGTACTTAGACGTATATATACCTATACATACATCTGAACCAAAGTCAACAACTAAAGAGCTTAAATTTTGACCTAAATGCTGAAGGCACTATGTATCAGTCAACCCCTGAGTCAGAACAGGGCAACTGGGCAAACGAAGCAAGCATTTCGGATATTAAAAGGAGAAAAAGGCACCCAAAAAAAATAGAAGAGATTTAATCGAACTAGAAAATAAACCTCACTTATTTCTACTTATTCCCCATCAAAAGGTAGGCCACTGACGTGATTAATTGCTAACCTGACAGTAAACATGAGGCAATAATTTTGAAAAATATATAAATTCAGCGTGTCGGCGTCGCTTTATGTATCAAAACTCTTGCGTTTAAGGCAAACGGCAATCACGCTGAGATTAAAAGAACGTCTAATAAAGATATATCGAACCTAAACGTGACATATTAAAACAGCAAAGCAAGAATGGGTATGTTAATCTAAATGAACAATGAATATTACAATTCCCAGCATTTAGAAGCACATGCAACAAAATTGATCGGAAGTTATGGGTAACGATGAGCACCATGTTGACGGAAAGATTACTCCCGAATTCGCCGGCGAGCTCCCTGACTCTGTGCATAGCAACCGCAGAAGAATTATTAAGATTGTCGACGACGACGACCTTAAAACCGGCGAGCAAGAGCTGGAGAACGGTGTGGGAGCCAATGTAACCGGCTCCACCAGTGACCAGAACGACCTTCATCTCCATGACTAAACAGTTAAAGGAGAGAAGTACGATTGAAGCGAACTTGAATGACACTCTTGAAATCACAAAAGCAGCCTATGAAGAAGAAAGCCGGTTTCTGAAAACGCGGGAGGAGAACGCCGGAAATTCTGTAACGTGTTCCCATTTCGCAATTGTGATGGAGGCATTTATATAATAATCTGTGCGCACGCACGCACCCCTTTTACGCCTAAAAATTTCTTTCATCAATATCTTTTGCTTCGTCTGTTAATATTTTGAAAATAAAAGTGTTTGGATTAGCTATTTGGAAATAAATTTACAGTATATAATGGAAGTATATAAAAAAAGTTATCACGTTTAGGTTTACTTTTTGTTTTTAATATAAGAATTATACAATTAATTTAAAGAGTATTAAAAATATTTTTTTGGTGAAAACCCTTATACTGAATAGAAATATTTTAGAATAAAATTATAAATTTAGGATACAGAATATATAGGATTATATCAAAATTTTCAACTAACTTTTATATTAAGCGTTGAAGATGTGGCATTTAGTATTACTAAGTAACCAGTAATCTAAATTTAACCTGAAATGAAAACAATCTTTCCAACATAATTTTTATATTACCATGATCAATATACGTTAATCTATTTTGGAAAGATAAGGATAAGGTGCATTTCCTATCTAAATAGTCAATACAGAATTTAGGGTGTCCAAGTTTTTAATTTGTTTTCTCAAAAATAATGTAATATCAATCTAATTAGCACGTGTCGTTTAAAAAAGCTGTTTTATTTAATAATAAAGTAATAAAAATAGAGGATCGAAATCATAATACTAGTATGTGTTAAGATGGCTCTTCGATGACGTTCACATTTTAATACTACCTCTGGTCCTTATTATAAGACTTCATTTGACTTTTTGTTTGGTCCTAATTATAAGACCCCAATCCATTTTGTCTCTCATATTTATGCATGTTTTTCCAAGATAATCCTTGTAATAATGATAATTCTAGCCAATATACTTAATTAACAAGGATATTTTAGAAATGACAACACTTATTTATTACAAATAACTAACTTAATTTGCTTCCTTAATCTTCTCAAATAAGTCAACTGAGTCTTATAATTAGGACCAGAGGTAGTATTATATTAATCCATCCTTCTTTTCTCCTCATATCATTTTCAGTTGTTTAATTTTATGGCGTTAAGGAATCAAAATATTATATGTTTGTAAGTGTTTAGGTCTGTTTAAATTAATATATGTAAAATTAAATTTTATTTCAATTAATTTTTACAAATTAAATTAAGATAATATTTATCACTCTTTCAACTCTTTATTATTGCTCCAATTAAGTTTCCTAAATTTGGGTCGCAGTTGAAAATTGATATTTTACTTTCCTCCCAATGAGTAATCTACCAGTTCCCGTCGTCAACCCAATTCATCAATTTATAAAAATTAAAATTTTATTAAATTACTTTAAGTAGTTATATTTATCATTTTTTTAAAATAATTTATTTTATTTATAAATTGATATATAATCTAATGATACAAATAAGTATTTTAGAAAGATCACGTAACATATATAATAATTAAATAATTTAGTAATTTTTTTAGTTTTTTCAAACTAGTTAGTCAGGCCCTATATTAAGGATTAAGAGGTAGTACTACATTCGACTCTTAATATGAGAATAAGTTTGACATTCAATTTGGTTATAGATATAAGACTTCAATTCACTTTGTCTCTAATATTTATCTATTTTATTTTCAAGTAATCCCTATAGTAATTGTATATGTTAAGGAATTATTATCAATAAATAATTCAAACACACATGATTAATAAGAGTATTTTAGAAAAATAATATCTATAAATAACTAATTTAACTAATTATTTTAATATTCTAAATTATTTAACTAAATTTTATATTAAATACATATTCTATCATCTTCCCAATGTGTAAACATTGTGTTGTGCGGGTATATTTAAATTATGTCTAGGAACTTGGGCATCTAAAGCATGATGGAAGATTCTAGTTTTTCTTTTGAAAAATTCATTTGAGGGTGGAAGATTCAAGCCCGGCGCACAAAGCGCGGAATACGTATTGGTTGGACCACTAAGCAAGGTGGATCGTTCGGGGGATTACTTTAATTATTATTCCCGTAAGCGGATGTGCGCACGCGATCGTTGCCTGAATCTTCTGGAACCTGGGATCCCAACTTTTAACAAAGGAGCATTATAGTAAAATCTCCCCCCAAAAAAATTACTTACAATTTTCTTTTTTAATAATTGACATTGAAGATATTGAGGAGTTAGACCTACTTAAGGTTTCTATATTTTTAAAAAACGCTGAACATTTATTTTAGGGATAAGATGCATTTTTGCCATGAAAAATGTTCACTTATAAGCAATAAGTATTCGGAAGTTTTATTTGGAATAATGTCGTCCTAAAAGTATGAAAAATGTAGCAATATCGACTTGAAGTGATGAAGACCCTAACAGACGTCTGCCACGTTGACTATTAGGTACACGCTAATATTTTAAAAACTAGAACAGATGTTGCACCAAAGAGGCCAACAGGTCACAGTTCGTCTAGTCAGACTATTTGGATTGATGGTCAGACTGGTGATGTAATGATTAAATTAAAAAATAATATTATATGTTTATATAATAATATATAGATAAATAAAATATTAAGTTATTAAATAATTTAAAAGGACAATACTTACAGCAAGTTTCTTATATCCATTATATCAAGTCCTTTAATTAAACATGACTAATGTGTTCTATTTTTAAGATATTAGCATTTAATATCTAATTATAAACTAATATGAACAAAAATAAACATATAATCATATGTAATTGGAGAACTTGACATAATCATAAAAGAAACTTAATCTAAGTATTCTCTAATTTGGAAATCAACTTAAACAGTTCAATTTCATAATAAATTAATAAACTGAGATGATAATAATATATCATACAACAAATTATTAGTAGTAATATAGAAAAAAAAACATGTTTAATTTTATATTAATTATTTTAGATAAAACGAAAATGAATTAGATAATTGTAAATAAATTTTTAATATTTGTAAAACTAAAATGATAAACAATGAAACAAACCAAAAATAATGGTTACAGCCTAAAAAACCTACCAACAGTCTTCATAATTCACATGTCCCCAAAATATGTTTTTCAAGTATTTTGAAAAAGTTGATCCTCAAAATGCGCAAAGTCTCCAACAAAGCCCATCACATACAGGTTTGAATTTGATAGTCATTTTCTCTTTCTTCTTCTTCTTCACGCTTCACATTTTGCTTTGTGCTTCTTAGTCTCCAATGGCCATGGCTTCTTTTTTCTCTTTCTTATAAAAGAATGGCTAATTTTTCAACTAGGACAGAAGGGAAGCTATGAATGAGGTAATGTTAAAATTTTTCTCTCTTTCTTCTCCTATTTTCTTCTAGTCTATTTTTCCTGTTTCCTATTCACTTTATTCTTCTTCGTTACTGCCCATCCTTTTCCTCTCAAACCGCTTTGGTTCTCAGCTTAAATCCAGCTACTAGCTCAAAAGCTGGTTTTGAACAGCTCAAATTGACTCAACCCCTTAGAAGGTTTAAAGTTGTGACCCAAGCTGATAAAATATCATGTCATCAGTCAGACCGGTCCAACCATCTAGTTTGGTTTGGGTTTTAAATCATTAGTATACATAATGGTGCTGACAAGATACAAGGTGGTGAGGAAGGTGAGTTACATGTGGATAAGTTGCTAATATGGAGAAAAATGTGCGGCATATGAGAAGCACGTAAAGAAGAGCATAGGAAGAGAAACTTAGGGAAAAATGATTAGATTAAACAATAGAAGGCATGGATCATTGAGAAAGTGAGAGGAAAAGCTAAAGATTCAAGAGAACAGAGATTGCTCTAAGCTAGGGCAAGAGAGTGGATCACATATGAGCTAGAAACCATATACAACTAGTGAAGAGATAAGGTAACTGAGATTCTTGTAGGACAAAAAGGTATGGAATTCGTGATTGGGAGAATAAATTCAAAGTTTCTTTAAATCTAGTACCGTAAAATAGCAAAGTCTCCCTTGTTTGTTTATGTGTGAATTTTTTTTTTAATTTTCTTTCCAATTAATTTATTTAGGGTCTGGGATAAAGATAGTGGTTTCAATGACTTGTCTAATATAAATAAGTTTGTGGATCAATTGAATACTGTGAAAAAGGTGCTTGAAGAGGAAACAAAAAGTATATAGAATGAGGAGGGAGAAGATGAGGAGGAAGAGGTACATGATAAGGCATATTTGGAGAATAAAGTAGCTTATTTAGGAAATATAAAACTCGCTTGGTCAAGAGGCAGAGAAAGTACAAGGAGTAATTCTTAGGTACAACTCAGAATGATTGGGGGGAAGCTAACATTGTTGATGTGATTAAAGTAGGGCATGATAATGGGAAAAATCATTTGTTGAGTGTTAGTGAAGAGGAGGAGGAGCAGTCAGAGTTTGGTGGCAAAGATAGGGGTGAAGATCATAGTGAAGATGAGGATCTTTATATAAGAGAGAGTGAGTTATTAGTTGATGAAGGAGATGATGACAATGGGAATGAAGAGGAGGAATTCGTGCATGAATTGGGCCAAAGTGATGCTAATAAGCCTAAAGCAAAAGTGAGAGCCTAAGAAGAAAGGGTTGGGTCTAAAGAGAAGTTTTCTTTTATATTAGGTACAACTTATGCCAATTAAAAAGGAGTTGGTTGCTGTGATTGATAGGTATGCAATTAATGCAGGAGTGAAGGTAAGGCTCATTAGGTTTAAGCCCTTAAGAGTGAAGACTAAATGTGAGAAAGGTTTTCCATTTGTGCTATATGCATCAAAGGATGGTGAGAAATTTTTTGCAAATTGGTCAAAGAGATAGAGAGGAAGTGAATTGAAGAAGAAATATTTTGCATGTGCATGAAGTACATTTGATGAGCAATTCATGGATAATTTGAAAGCACTTAGAGGCCTTAACATAGAGACAATGTTTGTAGCAACATCGTATCTTGTTCAATGTTGGGTAAGGACTTATTTTA